TCCAGCACTTTATTTCAACTTTAAGAGTTATTAACCTGGAGAAATAGAAGTTGCTGGCAAGACGGTGAAGGGGGATCTTAATTTTTTATAGACAGAGAATTGCTATGCGGAACCTAAAAGGAGGAAACTGTGGAGTGAGATAAACCTTGACGCAACTTACAATTATCAAGAACTGAGGCCGGGCTCGGTGGCTCAGCCTGTAATCCCACACTTTGGGAGACCGAGGTGAGTGAATTGCCTGAGCCTGCGGGTTCGAGACCTCATCTCTACAATAAATCAAAAAAGTTAGCCGGGCATGGTAGTGCGCGCCTGTAGTTCCAGCCACTTGGAAGGCTGAGGCAGAAGGATCGCCGAAGCCCAGCAGGTCGAGCCTGCGGTGGCCGGGAGCGGCCACTGCACTCCAGGCTGGGTGACAGAGTGAGACTCCAACTCAAAAAAGGAACTGAAATGTGTGCTAGATTCTCTGTTAGGCACTTATCTGTCATCTCATTTACCTCCCATGACAACCCTATGCCTTTGGTAGGAAAGGTTCCATTTTAGAGATGAGAAAACAAAGCAGAGAGGGTTAAATGGTTTGTCTAGAGTCATACACCTGACGTGTGATTATTCAAGAATTTGAACCCAGATCTATTGATTCTGAATCCAATACTCTTCTCTTGACAGCTTTGGTGATACTTGGACACTGACACCAAGTCTGGAATTTTTCATCAGGAAGGTGAACTGGGGGCATAAGGCTGAAACCAGATCTAGGACTCTAATAATAAAGGGCTGAATAAGAGGCAGGTGACTCCAAACAGAACTTTTCAACTCAGGATAAAGAATCAAGTTTGTTTGGTTTTTGTTTTGTTTTGTTTTTTTGTTGGACAAATAAGAAACAAGAGTTGGAAATACCTGGCTCCATGGCCCAGATCATGGGGCTGAAAGTCATAAATCTCTGATGTTTCGGCTCAGGATAAGTCCTGGAAAAGGATTGGCCAACAGTTCAATGTCCCACGCCTCGACTAGAGGGAATGAAGAGAGATGGATCCACACAGGGCCTGATGCCAGCTCTCCAACGTGAGGAAAATGTATGAGAAGCACAATGCTGTAGTCCCTGAAGGGCGGAACTGCCGGTATTATCAGGGGAAAGTTGAAGCCTTGGTATGAAAGTAGAGAGAAACTGTGGGCTAAAATGGGCTCTTGTGTTCACCACAGATTCTTGCTTGCCTCTGTCTCCCCTAAAATACTCAGAGATTGGGGTCCGCAGTCTGCCTTATCCGTATATCCTTTATATGACTCTAAAGCCATACTGTCTAGTACCATAATCACTAGCCACATTTAGCCATATATATTTCAGTGTAGATTAAATTAAATTAAAACTTCAGTTCCCCATTTGCACTAGACATATTTCAAGTGCTCAGTAGCCACATGTGGTTGGCAGCTACCATATTGGAAAACACTGATATGAAATATTTCCGTCATTGCAGAAAGTTCTATTGGCTGTGCTGGTCTAGCAGAAAGCACGAATCGAATGGATATGGTGAGTATTCTTTCATTTATATCCTCTGGGACCAGCTATGAGCCAGCAGACTAAGAGTTATTTGCAAGGCTGAGATTATTACTATTAACTGGTTCGCCCTTTTCTTCCTAACACACACACACACACACACACACACACACACACACACACACACCTTTCTTTTTTATTTACTTGTCTCTATGAATAACTAGGTGGAACTGTCGGACAGAAACAAGGTACAGCCAAGAATCATTTAATGGAACTTTGGTATCATGATGTTGAGACTCAAGACTGAGAGAGAGGTGTCAGGCTACAGAAGTTGATTCCAGGCTTCCACCTGTGATTGGGACATTCGGTTAGACAGGTACGTACTTAGGATCCACACAGCACTTGTACTCAGTTTTGCATAATATGTAGAATACTTCACCCGCTCTACACGTTGTTCTGCACCTGCCTGACTTACCCCAACACTTCATGACTGAAAGCAAAAAGGAAGAGAACGGAGTCAGTCTTAAAAGAAAGCAGAAGAGTGGGGGAGGGAGCGATTATTGACCAGTATCCTTTCCTTGTCCACTCATGTCCCCTGTTACAGCCCTCAAAGTTTCCCCCACTCAGTGGCATGAGTCCCACTAGGCAGCTTCTTCTCCTTGGCCAGATTCTTGAGAGAGACAAGAGGGCTCTCTCTCCCCTGGGTTTTATTTCTCCAATATTATTAAGGTACCAAGGTGCCCAGGATCAATTAACCACCTTTTCCCTTTGCTCTTTCATACTTCCTCTGGTCATATCAATGAAAGATGACAGGAACCTGAAAGAAGATCATTTGATCATCTGCAAGTCTTCCAGGGCATCTACAAAACTCACAAGAACATCACACTGCCTTCCAAACAATATCCTGGGACTTTTCACTGGCCTTAACCAGTCAAATGAATTATGAACAGCTTCTCTGGGAAAGCTGAAACCTAAGGTAACCCAGGGAATTTGAGTAAATAAGTAGAATCAGAATCTAAGCTATCATTTTTATAGCCGCAACAATAGATCAAAACTCAAATTTTCTCAAAGAATGCTTATGGAAAAGCCCGCATCTCTTCTACACTCCATCCCCAAATCCCTCTCTTCACACCCCACCCCACCCCCAGGTCTTCATGTCCAGCTTTTCCAGAACCAACCAGAGAAGAGGTCAGAGTGGTCAAGTAATGGGCACTGAGAAGACCAATTGGTACCTGAGAACACAAACTTTTCCTTGACTAGAAAGATCACCCAAAGACCTCTGTGGAAGCTGCCAGGCTATTCTCCCAGCCCAAGTTATCAGAGCCCCCAGAGTTCCCTGAACATGCATCAGGTTCCCTGACTCACATCCCCTTGGGAGAGATCCTGTTTACCTGGGGTGACCTGGGCCAGAAGCAGGGTAACAGTCAAAATCAGGAGAAGGAGCTTCATGAGTGACAGGGGCTCAGGGAGGGATTGGAAGCTTCTGAACTGGTAAGACAGGCTGACACAACTCCATTCTGGGAAGTCCAGAGACTGGTATTTATTGCCCTAAGGAGCAGGGCTGAGCCATGATCAGTGAACCAGAAAGGGAACAATCATCTGAGATCAGATAAGCAGGCAAATAGTCAACCCACACTGGTTAAGGAGTCTGGAAAAGGAGGAAGGGATATTAACAAGGAAAAGATACAGTCTTGCAACTGAAGAGGTTTTTTTATACAACTGGGTAGCCAAGAAAGGCAAACAAATTATTATGAATTTACTTCTGACTAACGTGAAAAAAGAGAGAGATGCCAAGTAAAACAGAAAAAGAGTGATACTTCTGTGTGCCTTCGGCTCTTTCCAGCAATAAGGATATCTTAAGATGTCCCACAGGTTAGTGGTTCATTTTAAGGATGCTAAGAAAGGGTAGAACAGAGGAAAACACCTTGACAGCTCCATGGCCATCACCACTGGAAGCTAGAACGGCAGCATTCATGGAGTAGGATAAGCAGGAAAGCCACAGTCCTTAGCTTTTAAAAGCCCTCACTTAAAGGTGCATGTTTAACAGGAACAAATAGCATCTTCCTAGACAGCAAAAGAAAGGCCATTGTTTTATAACTGCGGTCCTTTTTTAATAAGGTATGGTACGTTTCATTATTGATCCCAATTCTTCATCCCCGCCTGAATTCACATATTTGCCAAGGTCTTTTCCTAGGACAAATGTATTTCATTGTCCCCCTTCACTTTGGTCTTGTCACGTGACTTGTTTTGACCAATAATATATGGGCAGAAGTGACAATGTGCCAGTTCTGAGCTTATGCTTTAAGAGGTGATGAATGTTTCCACTTGCCCCTTTGTGCTTCTGCCATCACCATGAGAAGAACATGCCCCCGTGAACCAAGGAAGATAAGAGGTACTTGGAGCAGAACCACCCTGATGACCAACAGATCAACAGGAGAAGTGAAGCTACCCCAGCCATGCCAGCCTCAAGTAGAGAAATCCAGCCAAACCACAACTGCCTGTTGGCACATGAGTGACAATAAAGGATTACTGTTTTAAACCACTGACTTTTGGAGTAGAATGTTACATAGTAATGACTAATATATAAGGCCAGCAGATAGTCAGGAAAGAGTCAAGCACCTTTTTTTAGCACAATAATGGTAAGGTCTGTTATTTCAAAATGGGCAGAAACAAAACATGCTAACAAGAGAAATATCTTCTTTTTGACATGGAATAAGACTGTTGTCTTCAAGAAAAATTAATGCCCTAGACTAGAGGTCACAAGACATTTTCTGTAAAACCCAGGTGGTAAATACTTTAAGGTTTGCAGGTCATACAGTCTCTGTCACAATTACTCAACTCTGCAGTTGTAGCACAGAAGCAGCCACAGACAATATATAAACAAATGGAGGTTTCTGTGTTCTAATAAATCTTTATTTATAGACTCTGACTTTATATAATGTTCACATATCACTAAGTTACTTGAAAATGTAAAAACCATTCTCAACACATAGGTCATACAAAATCAGTTGTCAGGCTGGATCTAGAATGACAAACATCGGAAAGCTGCACAATGCCAAATGTCAGGGAACTGGGAACAGAGGAATACTCATGTGCTGCTGCTGGGAGAGCAGATCAGTGGTAAACCTCATGAGGGTTCAGGGCTCCTCTGTCCCTGGGAATGCCGGGAGTTCTATAATGTTCTAGGTAAGGAGGGAAGCCCCGTTGCCATCAGGAAACAGTAGCAAGTAAGCTTTTCAGGTAAATTATCTAAAGAGATTCCTGTAATCCGTTGTGATTTCTTATCTTATTCTAAATAAATATTTACCTTTGTGCATAACTTTCTAACTTTGTGTTCTTCTTCTTCTTCAAAAGAAGCCAAAAATTTTGAAGGTGTCGGACTCCACAAAACCAGGATCTTCCTCTAAGATGGCGGCAACCACTCTGGGGAGGAACCTAATGACATTTAATCCAATAAGGAATTAGCTTTTTTTTTTCTTGTCCAGAAACTCCACTCCTGAGTACAAATCCTGAAAAAATCCCAATAAGGGAAGTGTATAAGATATCTATTAAAACAAAGTTTAGAGCGGAGGGAGTTGAAGACAGCTTGGATTCCATCACTGAGAGAGTTGGAAGGTAAAATGTGGTGGACATACACCATGGATTGCTATGCAGTAATCATAAGCAGGAGAATTAGATGTACACAAAGAAATATGAGTGGGTATTTTAAACTATTGCTGGTTGTGATGGTATCGTCACTTTGGAAAACAGTTTCACAGTTTTTTATAAACGCATACTTACGACGCAACCATGTAATTACACTCCTGAGTATCTAGTGAAGATCAACAAAGACATATGTCCACACCAAAACTTGAATTTTAATAGCATCTCTATTAATCATAAGTGGAAAGAACCTAAATGTCCACTAACTAGTAACCAGACAAATTGTGGTATATCCATATAATAGAATACTATTCAGCAATGAAGAAGCATTAACTGCTATACATAATATGGATGAATCTAAAAAGCATTAGACTGAATGAAAGAAGTCAGACCAAAAAAGAACACACTATTCATTTGTATGAAACTCTAAAACACACAAACCTAATCTACTGTGACAGAAAACATATCAGTGGCTGCCTGAGGCTAGTGAGAGGAGGTGGGAATTGACTAAGATAGGGCATGAAGGACCACCAGGATGATGGAAATGATCTATACACAGGTGTCAAAACTCAACAAAATGTACAGGTTTTATTTTACATAAATTATCTTTCAAAGTCGACTTTAAAAACCTGCACTGGCCGGGCTCGGTGGCTCGGCCTGTAATCCTGTGCCTTTGGGAGGCTGAGGTGAATGGATTGCCTGAGCCCGCAGGTTCGAGACCCGCCTGGGCAGGGAGTCCTCTTCTCTACAATAAATCAAAAAAAAAAATCAGCCGGGCGTGGTAGCACATGCCTGTAATTCCGGCTACTCAGAAGGCTGAGGCAGAAGGATCACCGGAGCCCAGCAGGTCGAGGCTGCGGTGGCCGGTAGCGGCCACTGCACTCCAGTCTGGGTGACAGAGTGAGACTCCAACTCAAAAAAAAAAAACCTGCACTAATTTTTAAAAAAATAAACTATAACATAAAACCATTTATATAAATGTAAAATATATACACATTTTAAAAGGTACATGCTAAAACATCATAAGAGTTGCCTGTGCAGGAGATGGATGGGAGTTGATTATGGGAATAAAAGTCAATAAATCAGTAAAATGCAATAAGAGAAGGGTTTTGCATAAGTCAAATCATGATAAATTTGACATAAGTAACTAACCCAACTCTCTGCCACAGAGGACTAAAAAAGTGCTCTGTTGCCAAAAAGCTTGCTTCCAAGGACCGCTAGTGAAGAAATCAGCCCCTTAGACAGGAACCCATTTCCTCTCCTTCCAGAAAAGGCTGCAGAGAGAAAACCTGAAGGGGATGCTATTTGAGTTTACAAAGCCCAAAGAAAGAGAAAAAGGCACAACTGCCTCCACTTCTGAGGAAGGGGATTGTCTTTAGTTTGAAGGGTAAGATACTTGTAAGACTAGAGAAGAGAGCAACTCATGGGGGCACCATTCTTGCATTAGTCTAAAAGGCACTTTATTTACAGATCCGAAGAACCCCTAGTGGCACAGAGTTTGTCCTACACTAGACTCCTATTTTGAGATCTACTTCCTCTTCATTAAAGAATTCCATCATAGCCCAGCATGTTTGTTTTTGTGGACACTTACCAACTGAATGGGGTTGCAGAATAAAGGGATGCCCTGAATTCCTTCTGTGCATTATTTATCAGAATCAACAGAAGTCTTTATCAGTAGGGAAGACTTTCATGAATGGCCTTTTCCTATCTGACACAAGAAACTATGAGAAAAAATCCCTTAATCATTACACAAAAGTTAAAGAGGGACTCCCCACACCTGAGCTATATTATCTACAATCCTGGAGTGTCCACCATTCTTTTTTTTTTTTTTTGAGTCAGAGTCGCACTCTGTGACCCAGGCTGGAGTGCAGTGGCACACTCACAGCCACCCCAGAGTCAACCTGCTGGGCTCTGGCAATCCTTCCAACCCGGCCTTCCAAGTAGCCAGAACTACAGGCGCACACTACCATGCCCAACTAATTTTTGATTTATTGTAGAGGCGGGGTCTCGCCAAGTTGCCTGGGCTGGTCTCAAACCTGTGGGCTCAGGCGATCCACTCGCCTGACTTCCCAAAGTGCTGAAATTACAGGCTGAGCCACCGAGCCCAGTCATTCACCCTTCTTAAGACTCTGCCTTAGATTCTGCGTCCTCACTTCTACTGATAGCCAACCATTTTGCTATGGCTTCCATTCCAAGACATCCAGAAAATAATCTGGTTGACTAAAAATAATCTGACTATTATCTAATAGAGAAAACCAATTTAAAAGGATAGAAAACTATGAGACAAACTCCCTAACTGATATCTACACATTTCAGCTTTTCTTTATTGTCAAGCATGAAGTCATATCATATGCACTCAATGGATAGGGTAGAAGATACAGTTTAATTCATAATAGCCACACAAAAAAATGGAATACCTTGGCATTCACCTAACCACAGAAGTGAAAGACCTTTACAATGAGAACTAAAAAACAATGCTCAAAGAAATCAAGGATAATACAAACAAAATGGAAAAACATCCCACTTCATGGATTGGACGAATCAATATTGAAAGGTGTCCATCCTATCAAAGGCAATCTACAGATTCAATGAAATCCCTATCAAATTTCATTTTTCATTTTCATTTTTCATAGACCTAAAACAAGACAATGCAATATTTCATATGAAGGGGAGAAAAAGGCACAAATAGCCAAAGCAATCCTCAGAAAAAAGAAAAAAAAAGCCGAGGTATTACAGACTTTAAACTGTATTACAAAGCTGCAGTAACCAAGACAGCATGCTATTGGTACAGGAATAGATACATAGAC